CCAAGTAAAAGAATCCAATCCCCCCAAAAAACAAATACTTTCACTTGCATGAGATACCCAAAATAGTCAAATTTATAGAGTCAGAAAGAACTGTGGTTGTCCAGGGCTAGGGAGAGGGTGAATGGGAGTTAATATTTAACAGGTATTGAGTTTCCATCGGGGAAGATGAAAATTCCAGAGAGAGATGGTGGTCATGGTTGTACAACAATGCAAATGTACATAATGCTACTGAACAATGTACGTAAAAATGCTTAAAAGCATACATTGTAGGTATATTTCACCAGAACAAAAAAGTCACACACACAAAACACATGCGGCCTGGTCCACACAACACCAGTTAAATCAGAATCTCTCCAGTGTAGGGCCTGGTTCTCTGTATTTCTTTTTTTTTTTTTTATGACCCACGTGGTTCTAATGAACACCCAAGATGGCGAACTCCCAGAATTCATGACTTGGAATTTGGGAACTCACCTTGCTGGAAATCCCTCAGATTGTTCTCGGTTCTCACTCTCTCATTCACACAAGAGGCCTGAAAGCAGTTCCTCTACATTGCTGAGTCTTCCAGTCTGTTGCTGACTAAGGTGGCCCCAATCCAAGAATTAATGGAAGGTTCCGGAAGCAGAAAGCTCTGTGGTATACTGGGTATTTCTCTGGCTTGTGATTGTCTGCATACGTCTAATCCCTCTTAATGGTCCAGGAAGAGGAGCAATTATTACTGAAGTGCTGTGATTTCAGAATCAAGGAAGAGGTTCTCAGTGAAATCTGTAATTCACAGCACTGCTGGAGTCCAGTACATAACCGTTTTTGTTTTTTGATACAGGGTCTCGCTGTGTCACCCAGGATGAAGGGCAGTAGCATGATCGTAGCTCGCTGCAGTCTCAAACTCACAGGCTCAGGTGAACCTGCCGCCTCAGCCTCCTGAGTATCTTAGACTACAGGTGTTCACATGCATAACTTTTAAATGCGTATTTCCAGTCTTCTTTGGGCTACAGCATGACTATTGGGTGACTATTAGCTGTGGGATGATAAAGAGAGTTCATTTTTCAAAACTGTGTGCTCTTTTTATTTTGAAAAATTGCAGACCTCAAATATAAGCAAGCAAATAGCACAATGACCTATATAATCACCACAATGCATCACTAGTTAACATTTTTTGCCATTTTTATTTTTATTTTGCTGAAAATTTGGGTGTAGGTTGCAATAATGTCAGTTCTAGATAACGCAGCCTGTATCTTCTGTAGAAATAAAAATATCTTATGTAACCAAAATACAAGTATCACACTCAAGAAATTTGACATTATTATCTGACATTTACTCTACCTTCGAATTTTCACAATTGTCCCAATGATACCTGTCATTGCGACTTATTTGTTAATCCCAGACATGATCAAGGATCATACATTGCATATAATTGTTAGGTTTATCTAGTTTTCCTTAATCTAGGAGAGTCTCCTGATGTGGGTGGGTGGATGGGAGTGCGTCTTTCAGGACAGTGACTTTTAAAAAATAATTTCAAGCCATTTGCCTTGCAGAAAATTACTCAAAGAACTTACCCTATTATTCCCTGTTAATTAGAAAAAAGTTAAATCTATTGAGAAAACTACATAGGGCTGGTGCAGTGGCTCACGCCTGTAATCCCAACACTCTGGGAAGCTGAGGCAAAAGGATTGCTTGAGGCCAGAAGTTCGAGACCAGCCTGGCCAACATGGTGAAACTCCATCTCTGCTAAAAATACAAAAATTAGCTGGGTGTGGTGACACATACCTTTAGTCCCAGCTGCTTGGGAGGCTGAGGCAGGAGAATGGCTTGAACCCAGGAGGCAGAGATTACAGTGAGCTGAGATCACGCCACAGCACTCCAGCCTGGGTGACAGAGAAAGACTCTGTCTCAGAAAAAAAAATAGAAAAGAAAAGAAAACTACATAGGTAAAATGTCCTTGCCAGGGCATTTTATCAGAAAGCACATGATGTCAATTGGTCAAGAGGGCTTATTATTGAAGGGAGAAGAACAGTATCTGGCCTTCATCTCAGGAGCAAGCAGTCTCTGATACCTCTTCTTTGCCTGGTACTGTGCTAGGTCCTACAGAACTCCAAGATGCCCTCAAAAAATTCACATTCTGTGGGGAAACAGACATATTCATTCACTCATTGAGTCAGTAACATATTTCTTGAGCTCAATGTGCCAGACACCACTCTAAGTACTAGCAACAAGGATGATATTTAAATATTTAACAAGCTTGGCATGAGCACAGAATCAGAGAATCACAGAATCAGGGTTATTACTGCTGAGCCCAGTAATAACCCTGAAGTTGCTGGATCATGGGGGAACCTGGGGAAATGCAGAGGAGCAGGCAGGATGGCTGGGAGATTGGGGAAGGGGGCCAAGCTTCAGAGTAGCTGCTGTTTATGAGTGAGTACAGAGTATTTCAACATTCTAACAGCTGGGAATGACAGCCTTGGCTTGGGCATGGAGATGAATAATTCAGCCAAAGTCCCTGACCTCATGGATTGATCTTCTAGAGCAGGAGTGGGTGAACTTCTTTGGAAAATGACCAAATACTAAATATGTTTGGCCCTGCAGGCCCTACATTCTCTGGACAGAGAGACAAAGTCCCAACTACTCATCTCTGTCTTTGTAGCACAGAAGTAGTGTGTCAGTCCATTTTGCACTACTGTAAAGAAATACCTCAGACTGAATGATTTATAAAGAAAGGAGGTTTGTTTGGCTCATGGTTCTGCAGGCTATACACACACAGCACCAGCATCTTCTTCCCGGGAGGACTCAGGAAGCCGTTCTTCCTTGTGGAAAGCAAGGGGGAAACAACTGTGTCACATGGCAAGACAGAGATAGCAAGAGAAAGATACCAGGCTCTTTTAAGCAACCAGCTCTCACATAAACTAACAGACTGAGAACTCACTCATTACTGCAAGGAGGGTAGCAGGCCATGAATGAGGGTCTGCCCCCCTCACCCCAACTTCTTCCACCAGGCACCACCTCCAACATTGGAGATCACATTTCCACATGAGATTTGGAGGGGACAGATATCCAAACTGAGGTAGGAGGTGGGACTTGACTGTAGACCAGACTGAAGACTGGCTGAAACAGGGAAGAGGCACTCAAAGCTCCTCTCCATAAGACATGCTCACTAGTGCCATCATGACAGTCTGCCATTGCAATGGCAGCATCCTGAAGTTACCACCCCTTTCCAGGGCAATGACCTGGAAGTTGCCACCCCTTTTCAGGACCACAGCCCGGAAGTTGCCACTCCTTTTCAAAAAATTTCTGAACAACCTGCCCCTTAATTTACATATAGTTAGAAGTGAGTATAAATCTGACTGCAGCACTGCCTTAAGCTGCTGCTCCAACACATGGCCTATGGGGTAGCCCTGCTCTGCAGGAGCAGTCACGGAGCTGTAACCCAGCCAGGACTCTAATGCCACCACCTCAATAAAGCTGCTTTTTTCTTTTTGAGATGAAGTTTCACTCTTCTTGCCCAGGCTCTGGAGTGCAATGTCACTACAACCTCGGCCTCCCAGGTCAAGTGATTCTCCTGCCTCAACCTCCCGAGTAGCTGGGATTACAGGTGCCTGCCACCATGCCCGGCCAATTTTTTCTATTTTTAGTAGAGACAAAGTTTCACCATGTTGGCCAGGCTGGTCTTAAACTCCTGACCTCCGGTGATCCATCACCTCGGCCTCCCAGAGTGCTGGGGTTACAGGTGTGAGCTCCACTCCTGCTAAAGCTGCTTTCTTCTGCCACCAGCTCAATCTTTTTTTTTTTTTGAGACGGAGTTTCGCTTTTGTTACCCAGGCTGGAGTGCAATGGCGCGACCACAGCTCACCGCAACCTCCGCCTCCTGGGTTCAGGCAATTCTCCTGCCTCAGCCTCCCGAGTAGCTGGGATTACAGGCACGCGCCACCATGCCCAGCTAATTTTTTGTATTTTTAGTGGAGACAGGGTTTCACCATGTTGATCAGGATGGTCTCGATCTCTTGACCTCGTGATCCACCCGCCTCGACCTCCCTAAGTGCTGGGATTACAGGCCTGAGCCACCGCGCCCGGCCCCAGCTCACTCTTAAATTCTTTCCTGAGTGAAACCAAAAAACTTCCCAGGCTAGGCCCCAATGTTGGGGCTCACCTGCCCTACAACAAACTCATATCAAATAGCCACAGACAATAGTAAATAAATGAGAATGACTATGTTCCAAGTAAGCTATACTTACAAAACCAGGCAGCAGGCTGGATTTGGCCCATGGGCCATGATTTGCAAGCCCCTGTTCTAGTGAACCAGACAGACACACTCATTTGTCCTTTTATGCTACAAATATTTATGCAGCATCTTCTACGTGGCGAGTACTGTGCAGGGCACTGGTATGCTGTGCTGAGCAAGACAGATGACTGGGCGCAGTGGCTCATGCCTACAATCCCAGCACTTTGGGAGGCTGAGGTGGGTGGATCACTGGAGGTCAGGAGTTTGAGACCAGCCTGGCCAATGTGGTGAAACTCCCTCTCTACTAAAAGTACAAAAATTCACCAGGCGTGGTGGCAGGAGCCTATAATCCCAGCTACTTGGGAGGCTGAGGCAGGAGAATTGCTCGAACCTGGGAGGGGGCAGTTACAATGAGCCAAGATTGTGCCACAGCACTCCTGCCTGGGTGACAGAGCCAGACTCTGTCTCAAAAAAAAGAAAAAAGAAAAAAACAGACGATGACCCCTGCCCACATTGCACTTACATGCTGGTGGGAGAGACAAAATCTTATGATGTAAATGCTAAGACAAGAGTCACTGGGAAGTACAGAGGGGGCAGTTCACTCATCCTTGGATTTTAGAGAAGGATTCCTGGAGGAGGGGATGACCGTGTTGTTTGCTTAGCCGCCTGTCAGCGAGATGAGCAAAGTCACCACAGGCTCTTGGAGCCTTTTCATCAGGACAGCTGAGGTCCTCCACCCCTTTCCCTGTGGGTTGTCTGTCATCACCAGCTCTTCCCTTGTGTCCCCCAGTCTCTGAACAGCTACAACGACGGAGACTACGAAGGAGCCAAGCGGCTTGGGCGGAATGCTAAGTGGGTGGCCATCGCCTCCATCATCATTGGTCTTCTCATCATCGGCATTTCTTGTGCAGTTCACTTCACAAGGAAGTAAGTAGGCTTTTTGAATCCTTCCCCATGTCAAATGCCCTTTCTTGAATGCCTGTTGATACCTGTCAGAGTAGATGAGGTTATGCTCCAGTCACAACCCAAAACCAAAGGGTTTTCATGTTTTGTTCTCAGAATAAATTTGTCCCAGTCCAGAGGGACACATCAACAGTGTGGATCTTCTAGTGCAGGAGTGCATGAACTTCCTTGGTACATAACTGAACAGTAAATATTTTTGGCCTTACGTTCTCTGGACATAGGGACAAAGTCCCAACTACTCAACTCTATCTTTGTAGCACAAAAGTAGTGTGTTAGTCCATCCTGCATTGCTATAAAGAAATACCTCAGACTGAGTCATTTATCAAGAAAGAAGATTTTGATCCTTCTTTGAATCAACAATATGGATTCATTACATGGATCATGTAGGTCAGTGAAAGGTCTCTCCTCCACAGAGTCACTCAGGGTCCCACGCTATACAAAGCTCCACCATCTTGCAGCTGCTCTATCGAGAACAGAAGTCAACAAACTTTGTCTGTAAAGGGCCAGATAGCAAATCTTTTAAGCCTTGTAGGCCATATGGTCTCGATCATGGTCTCTGGCACAGCTACTCAGCTCTGCCATTTTAGCACAAAAGCAGCTATAGACAATATAGAAATGAACAGGCATGGCTGTGTTCCAATAAAACTTTATTTACAAAAACAGGCATCTGTCTGTGGGCTGTAGTTTGCCAACTTCAGATCTAGAACATGAGGTGTCCCCAGGCAAAGGCGGGGGAGAGGAAGCCTGGAGAATCTCACATGGGCTTTTTACTGCCTAGCGACAAATGTCGCTTAGGCTCACATTGACTGAAATCAGTCACATAATTCCACCTAACTGTAAGAGGGTGGGAAATGCAGGAGAGTAAATGGGATATTTAGGATTGCTACTTGCTCTGCCCTCACACATCATCTGCTAAATAAAATCCTACTTGCTTTTGCATCAGACTAGCCTAACTGTCCATAGTTTAACAGCAGAAGAGTCACCACATATTTTTGTTATTGACAATGAGCTCTCATCTCATAGAGTGATGGATGCTGTTGATGTGTTATCCCTCTGGACTGGGACAAATTTATTGTGATTTCTCTAACCAGCTCAGATGGGCTCCATCTGCTCAAATCAATAACACTTTCCATCAGAGGTTTGACAGTGGGCAAGGTCGTGTGATAGACAACCCAGACCTGGAAATGACAAGCCCACAGTCTTGCTGTGTAATTCCTGGTAAGACAGATAAGAATGCTGAGAATTTTTTTCACTTTTCTGCCAGGCGGCATGGCTACTCCTATACCCTTGACCAAAGTCCTACACACATTGAGCTGAGAAAGTCAACCTCTTGCGTTTGGTTGACAAAGGAGGCTCATCCAGATGGGTGAGGGAGGAAGGAGACCTCTTTTGACATTCCAGATCAGCTAACTCAATCTTGGCAACCAAGACAGTAGCAGATGTCATGGTAGATCAACTTCCTATCACACAAGACAGACACAGGAACAATCAGTGTCAGCTGAGTAGAGGGGAAGATGTCCAAACAGGAAGTGTCACAAAAGAAAGTTCAATTGCTTTGGCCAAAGAAAAGACAAAAGGACCCTCAAACATGAAAGAAAGCTCAAGGTTTCTTGCCTGCAGGATGACAAATTTGATGTTGACCTGTAAAGAGAAAGATGGTTGAAGAATACATGTGAATGCACCTGACTATATTCTTAAGAGAAAGTGTAAGGTGCTTGTGAACTTGTGAGCAGGGGGGGCCACAGAGTGTGGAGCTAATGGTACAGTTGTGGCATCAGACTGCCTGGACCCAGGTGCCTGCCACCACTTATTCACTGTGAGACCTTCAGTCAATTGTTTGACATTCCTGAACCTCAGTTTCCTCACCTGTAAGATGGGAAAATAGTAGTACCCAGGTCATAAAGCTATTGTAAAGGTTCACTGGATGACCACAGGATGTGTAGGTTGGTGTCTCCGTTCTTTTTGGTGGGTGTGCAAAAATGCAAATGATGTATTAATCCTATTACTATTATTATCAATATTATTGGGAAAAGACCTCAGAATTCAAGATGCTATTAAATAGAATTCAAGTCTTTGTACTTTTGAGCCAAACTCAAAAGACAGTGTTCCAAGGGAATGAGGCCAAGCCTTGGCTTGACTCCTGGGAACTTGTGAAAATGCATACTACCTAGATTAGTGTTTGAACTAAGTAGGTTATAATAATAGCTGCTGACACTAACACAGACCTTGACATAGGTCAGGTACTGTTCTAAGCTCTTACATGAATTAATCCTCATTGAGTCATCACAACAACCCAAAGAGGGAGATAGGTATTATTATCCCTATTTTGCAGATGAGGAAACCAAGGCTCAGAAAGGTTTAGTGACTTGCCCAAAGTCTCATAGCTAGTTAGTAGAAAAGGTAGGTTTTAAAACCAGGAGAGTGGCCAGTCACAGTGGCTCATGCCTGTAATCCCAGCAATTTGGGAGGCTGAGGTGGGCAGATCACGAGGTAAGGAGTTCAAGACCAGTCTGACCAACATGGTGAAACCCCTCCTCTACTAAAAATATAAAAATTATCTGGGTATAGTGGCATGCACCTGTAATCCCAACTACTCAGGAGGCTGAGGCAGGAGAATCACTTGAACGGGGACCCAGGAGGCAGAGGTTGCAGTGAGCTAAGATTGTGCCACTGCACTCCAGCCTGGGCTACAGAGCAAGACTCTGTCTTAAAAAACAAAACAAAACAAACAAACAACAAAACCAGAATAGCGTTGTCCTTCAGGCTGTGGTCCTAGCCAAACTCTGAACTGCCTCTAAATCAATGTGTCCCATCTAGTACACCCAGTAACAAAGGCCAGTAAGTGGCACTTGCCTTGTGGCTAACTCCAGGACTTATTTACAGGGGAATGGTATGGTGAGGTTTCAATCTACAGAAATGTGTGATGAGTCAGGGCCAAGGTTCACAAAATCAAAGGAGTACGGGGGTCAGGCAGAGGACATACACGAAGTAGGCTGGTTATAGGACGATACCAAGTGGTGGATAACATGGTAATTTCAAAAGCGCAGTTTAAAGGAAGCAGCCATCATTCTGCTCCAATGGTGACCACTTGGCATGCAGGCCTCACGGGGCTCACTTTTCAAGAAGTGTTGGAAAGCTGGGTTTTTATGTAAAATCTCCTGATCTTTAGATGTTGACAACGAATTCACATCACTAAAACACATGGTGAGGACATGAACAAAAGAAACGTTTTTGCAGGCTAGACACTCTCTACTTTGCAGTCTGTAGCGGACAGTTTGCTTTCAAAGATCAGTTTGCTCATGCACTCCATCCAGGAAGTGTTGCAAGAGATCTAGAGTGTCCATACATAGACATTCTTCAGCGTTTATAGATATGTCTCTATCTGGGGATGAAGTGTTGATGTCTCTGCTTGTGATTGAAGCTTTCTTAGGAACAAAAGGTATGAGAAGGAGTAGCCTCTCTGTTCCTTCTTCCTAAAAGGCAGTGTTCACCATGGTTAGAGCTTCTGATTTAACACTAGCTTTACCAGGATTCAAATCCTACTTCTACCACACAGGCCATCTGGGCAAGTTATTCAACTCTCTGTGCCTCAATTTCCCTAACTAAAAAATGAGAATTGAATTATTTCCCCATCTGTAAGGTCAAATTCTTTCTAGATGCCTTTCCGTCTGCTATTGAGGAAAACAGGCCAGGCACAGTGGCTCATGTCCATAATCCTAGCACTTCGGGAGGTAGAAATGGAAGGATCTCTTGAGGCCAGGAGTTCCTTGAGCAGCCTGGGCAATATAGCAAGACCCCATATCTAAAAAAAAAAAAGTTTTTTAATTAGCTGGGTGTGGGAATACACCTGTATTCCCAGCTATTTGGAAAGCTGAGACGGGAGGATCACTTGAGCCCAGGAATTCCAGGCTGCAGGGAGCAGTGAGCTATGATCACACCGTCACACTCTAGTCTATGCGACAGAGTGAGACCCTATCTCAAATAGCAAATAAATAAATTTTAAAAGATAATTCCATGGAGAAAATCAAATTTAAAGGCTTTGTCATGTGTGTATGGCCGAGAGAGAGAGAGAGAGAGAGAGAGACAGGCAGACAGAGACAGAGAGGGAAGAAAGAAGGAAGCAGGGAGGAAGGAACCAGCCATTAGAGAATGAAATAAATTCTGCCTTCCAAGTAACATGGCCAATTTCTCAGTAATCCTTTGAAATAAAATTTCCAAGCCTGCATTTTATGGGAGGAACTAAATGGCAATGTGAAACTTCTAAGGCAGAAATTCAAACTTCTAAGGCAGAGGTGCCCAAGCTACATAAGAGTTACCTGGAGAGGTTTAAAAAATGTTAGCGTCAGCCAGGCAGGGTGGCTGACGCCTGTAATCCCAACACTTTGGGAGGCCGAGGTGGGTGGATCACAAGGTCAAGAGATTGAGACCATACTGGGCAACATGGTGAAACCCCATCTCTACTAAAAATATAAAAATTAGCTAGGCATGGTGGCATATGCCTGTAGTCCCAGCTACTAGGTAGGCTGAGGCAGAAGAATTGCTTGAACTTGAGAGGCGGAGGTTGCAGTGAACCGAGACTGTGCCACTGCACTCCAGCCTGGTGATACAGCGAGACTGTCTCAAAAAAACAAAAAGTTAGCATCCGAGCTTCACTTCAAAAGATTCCAACGTGCTAAGTCAGACGCAGGATCCAGGAACATCTGCAGTTTTCAGCTGCCCCTACTCCCAACCTGAGGATTCATGCAGAACAGTCTTTGCTAAACCTTGGCAAATATCCTGCCACCAAAGTCCACATGCAAATGGTGGCCATTTGTGGACAGTTTTCATTTACAGCAAACTTGTCATCCTAATCTGCTATGTCTAACCCAATGCTAAGGAGGGGAATGAAGGGCCACCTAGCAAGTGTCCCCACAGGCAGGCTCTTTAGTAACAATCTGCTTCCACAGAGGAGATGGGAAAATCTG